GGAAAGAGGGGGAGGCACAACAAATGGTGAAAGCTGAATTTCTTGTGGAGAACTCCTTAAAATCACATTTGTGGCTTGGTGATTGTTCCCTAAGAAGGAAAAAAAGAGGAGTCAAAGTCTGCTCTCAACCATAGTGGAATAAGTCCAGAATAACTCCATTAACCATCTGGATTTAATCCAGATTTGGACCAATGTCACAGAATATACTTTGGACTTCAGGAAATACAAAGTGAGGGGGTTTGCAATAGGATTTCTAAAACTCTCTTTATAAGTACCTAATTTTAAAAAGACTTACTTGCATGTACACATGCGGGTGCATGCCCAAGATTTGTCATCTGTCTCTAAGAGGACCCTGAAAACACTAGGTCAAAAGAATCCAGGTACTTGGACAAGACAGCTTCTTCAACAGACATGGATTACATTGGGATCCCAGAAATGATATGAAGCACTTACAACACTATTACTTACCTGCATACTTTTCAAGTATTAACTAATACATTTTTTACAATGCCCTTGTGAGGTGCTGTTAACTACATTTCATAGATGAGGAAATGAAGGCAGGGAAGTTCAGTGACTTATTCAAAGCCACAGGATCCTCAGAATGCCTGGCTCCTATTTTTGCCCCGACTATTAGGCAGTATCTGTCTCCTACTGTATTACCCTATAAATGGCCCTCTGGACACATCGGAGAAAATAATGGCAATGATCCCAGACACAGACCATTCTACTAGGACAACTAACACTGGACATTTCCAAGGTCTTTCCATCAGTAGCGAAGCTCCTCACTCCTGCTGCTCTATATCAGGGTGTCAAAGATATGGCCCAGAGAGTTCAGGGGAATTCTTTGGAATAGAGGGCCCCAATGGACACGGCCCTTGGCAGCTTGGGGACTTGTTTTGTGCCCAGACATCTGTCACTGCCACTGGGCTCCTGCCGCTACTCCTGGATCCCTGCTACCACCAGATCTGCTTCAGACACCACTGCCCTAGACCCACCACAGCTGTCACTGGCCCTGCAAATCTGGCCTGGAAGAAGCTGTCTGGTCCAAATCCAGCCCAGAGCCGGAGGTGAATTTGACACCCCTGCTCTATATAAATGCTGGAACACTTATAGATATTAATTATCAGCGCACACAATCCACATACAGCCTTAAAGCATGAGATAGTGATGTGGTGAAAGCATTCTGTTACATCTGCTTTATTTCTGTTATCAAATGACTGACAGAGATTTAATTACTGTGTGAGACAGATGTTAAGGCATTCGAGTGACAGCTGCTTGCTCTGCCATTTCTGATCTGCTGCACTGTCCTGGGTTAAGGCCTGTTCTAAAGCCCATTCAAGTCAACGAAGATCCCGAGGCCCTAGGAGAACAGACAGAGTGGGTGTTTCATCTGTTTGGGTTCATCTTTGGCTTCTGAGAAAATGTTAGAAAAAACTGACAGTCTAAATTAAAACATCCCTCATGGAATGCATAGCTGGCATTTCAGGGCTGACCTTGGCAGCATTGCAGGGGTCGTTTCTTCTCATGAATGAACTATTTCTGAAGAGTGTCCAAAGTACTAAACACTGCTAGCCAGCCTAATGGGATTTTCTATTTTACTACTATAGGCCAATCCTGTAACTCTGGAATGAGAGTTTTCCCTGAGTAAGAAGAGCTACAACTAGAAGAGCTTCCACTCTGCACTCTTACGCTGACTGCAACAGGACTCTGTGAAGCAGGGTACAAGGCAACATTGAACAAGGCTCATGTCCCAGACTTTTCTGGGACATCAGATACAGACAGACTGATTCAAAACCTCTTTGGTTTGATCTATGCCAGTCAATGGAAATTTTACTAAGTCTATCTGAACTGATCACAATTCTTTTATAATTTTCCACTGATCTTCTCATATACTGCTCTATTGTACAGCAGTATGGCAGAAACACTAGGTCTAGGATCCCAATCTTTTGGAAAGGATTATTTTTTTCAGAGTCCAGAGCTATACAAAACCAGCCCATGTTTACTGTTATTAGTCAGCAGTACCAGTATTGTTTGGTGGAGGATATAGGGAGAAATTGTCTTTGCCTTGCAAAAATGCAAGGAAAGTTTCTTCCACTCTCAGAAAATCAGCATTGATATATCAGGAACAACACAGAGGAAGTATTGCTCTCTCTGATGTCAATATTATTAGACAGGACCCTGTGATAGTAAACAACTCAATGTGGGAGGAACATTATGGGTGGGATATTCAAAATCAGCTAAAAAGTTAAGAACACAACCCCTCCCTGCCCTCAAATTTCAGTGTAACCTGTATTCCTAGCTTCCTTAGGAGCTCCTGGAAGCCCTATCACTCTTCAGATTTTGGTGTTGCTTCTGAAACTTGCCTTAGATTCAGAGCTATTCTTTAATTGCCAAACAGTGGCTCTGCCATCACCCTCTTTTTAAAATCTATTTCTCCTTCACACTAGAGAGAAAAGCACTGGGCTTCTCCAGCTGTGGACCATCTCCACTTCTACCATCTTCCAAAACATTCCTTAAGGGGTCTAGGTCTTCCTTAGTCTCCTCAGGGTGAGCATGTCACCAATACACACAAGCTCCCACTCACTCTCTCTTAAATGTGACAACTTTCTTAGGGAGTGGTAGGAGGGGACAGTTGGTCACTGAGAGCGAGAGACCCTGCTTAATCATAAACTGATGCTCAGTAGTGGTAGAGAAGAGTTCATGAAAACTGCCTTTCAACTTCTACGGCCTGCCTGAATGCTCCTATAATTGTACCCAAAACAGTCCAAAAGGGAGGAAACAAAGTCATGATTTTAGCAGTCTCACACCAGCCTCAGAGATGGAGATGGGTGC